CATCCCTGGCTGCCAGTCGAGAAAATCCGACAGGTAACAGGTGATGCGACCCGAAGACCAGGCGTGTCCAGCATTCGGCAGCATGGCAGTGGCATATTGATTGAAGCATATTGTGATTGTCAAATTGTGATTGTACCATATTGTACCGGTCTGGTCTGGTCGTTCCACGTTCGTTCCCGATTCGCTGTGGTGCAAGTGTTGTGGTACAATGGTGTTCCAAACCAAAACTGTTGGCCAACGCTCAAGGCTTTGGGGCTCTTCAGTTTTCCAGCCTTACGGGTGTCTTCGACAAAGTCCCTTTCTAAATGTGACCGTCTGACAGCCTCACAGTTTTCAGGCTGGGAGAGAGGGCTGTTGTGTGAATGGCAATCTTGATTATATAAATGCCAATTTCTAGCTTGCGCCGTTTTGGCGGAACCGTCTCTCGGACTTCACTCAGTCTTGGACTTACTCACTTGTCCACTTGTCATGCTCTTCCAGTTCCTTATTGTCCTTCCACAAGCTGTCCATCCATCGATCCATCCATCCATCCAACGATCCATAGAAGAAATGCTTGTGGTATGATGCTCGCATTGCCAGCATTCGCTCAGAGCTTAGCCCCGCCTAAGCAGGCTGAATCAAGAATTTACAAGTGTGTTACCTCAGATGATCGTCTCGATCACCTGATGGTGTGGAAGATCACCTTTAAGCTTGCATCCTATTAACTTAGAAAGTAGGACCGTTTCAAGGAACTTGCTAGCATTGCACCACGATTGCTGATGTCATAAAATCAAAACGCGCTGTAAGTAGCGAGCGATCAGAGCCGCTTGTGGAAAACATTCGGATGAAGCGGGAGGCAAGAGCCAACGCTATGGCGAAAGATGAGGCCGGGCCTTTGTCTGCTCAGACATGACCGTCTCAGCCAGTTCCATGTCCAGCTGCGCTTAACATGTGGAAGGGTTGTTGAAATTTGCTTGACAGACTAGCAGGATTGCAACAAGGACAGCAATGGCACTCTGCCTTTTAAGAGTCCCATTTCTAAACTGAGCTCATACTTATTGTGAGTGGAAACTCAAGTTGAATTATTGTGAAGCGTAGGCTTGGTCGGCGGGCCGCATTGAAACCGCCGCTGGGTCTTAGAAAAATTAGGCACAGTTCCAAACCAACTCACGATTTATCCAAGGTTCGCTCGTCTAAGGTCCTTCCATATATGTGGGGTACTAGAGGATTGCTATGTATAAGAAACCCATAAAAGACAAAACGTGCGACCACCCACAAATACCACCGGTTTAAGACACGGGAAGCACTTAACGGTGAATTATGAATTGAAAATCAGATCGGATGATTCAAGACGGAATGGCAAGCTGATCGGAAGATTGCTTGTTGCGGAGGATACACTTTTTGAGACGTTGATACAAATATTGACTTTAGGGAAAAGAAATTGGTGCATAAGGATCACATGCGATATTGAAAGAGGACACAATTTTGCTTCAAGACGAACATTCAGCAGGTATTCTTGGTTAGACAAGGAGGAATAGAGATCTAGGTTATCCATAAGTTGTTCTGCATAAGGAAAGAAAGGTCGAGCGGAAATTCCTCCTATCAAACGATTCTGAAAACCCAGTGGAATCAACGAGGATGCACCAGCTTTCTTATAGCGTGGATACAACTGGCACTGGAGAGAGTTTAAAAAAAGGAAAGATAGCATGCAAGTCATTGGCCTGATACCATAGACTACGAGTTTCTGGCTTCTGGATCAGAGCTGCTGGGGAGTTAAAAGATTGGGCGAACGAAGTGAGTATTAGGGGGTGTTGGGGGGGTCGCGTAGCGGCACAGTCTGGTAGGGCGAGCCCAGAGCCTGGTGGGGGAGAGTGAAAAAGAGTGGCGGCCCGAAAAGAAGTGAACATGTATAGTTTTTGGATGTTTTTGGGGTCTTGTGATGCAAGTGATGTAATTGACGCCGAAGAGTGCATCATTAGCATCATGAGGGGCTCCGGAGGCCACTTAAACAGTCTTCGGCCAGGGGTGGGAGTTCATGTTGAGGACAGAAAAGGGGTGATAACAGGATGTGAAAAGTGGTTGGGAGGAAAGTGAGATGTGCGTCTCCCAACACTTTGTTTTCTTGTGGCTAGTATGAGTAGGAGGGACTGCAAGGATTAAGGTGACCTTGAGGGCAGGAGAGGGAACAGAATGCGCTGGGCAAGTGTTGAGTTGCTTGGGGGTGCCCTTTTTAATGGTGATGAGGCCTGTTAACCAGAAGCAAAAGGGCCCCGCATACGGGGTGGGAGTTCATGTGGAGGACAGGCATAGCGGGGGAGGACGTGATAGGAGAAGACGTCAGAGCTCACAAGGCAAGCGAGAAGTGTGTGGCTCAGCGCTCTGTTTTGCGTGGGTAAGGGGAGTAGAGAGAACGCAGGGGGGCAACGGGACGTGAAAAGGTGAAAGGTTGTTCCATCTGTCACATGGCGTTCCGATCCAAGTTCATTGTTTTGCAGCTTCTCTCTTCAAAACGCCCCTTCAAACAAAAAAAAGTGTAGCCCACCCCCCCACCTGTGACTGAGAGACTTCCCACCTCTGCCGTTATTTTCCCATGCCTCACAGCCCTTCCAGTGGGCTCACGCATTCACCCCCATGACCATATTGATGTGTTCTTCAGATTGTCGGCATCATAGACCCAAATTGGCAAGAACGTTCCCATATTACACTGCTGTGTATAAACCAGCTCAAACCAAGTGATGCCAACATTCACCGTTTTTCACCATTGAAGCGTCCGGAACATGTGCCAAACACGGTACACTGCTAAAGCGCCCCTGACGGACAGGCTTATGCGACAACTTCTGGTATGTCCTGTGTAAAACACCAAACCTCAGCACCTACGTTCCATTGACTTAATATGAGTTTAAAACTAGAGAAAACGTCCACTGTATTATGATGATGTTGCTTTGCCTCTTTGTGTTTACGTTTAAATTTTAACTTCCTGTGTAGTGCATGGCGATTTGCTAAATTAGTGTACGCCAGGGACAAAAACTCGATCTGGCATCCTGCAGCGGTGCGCAGCATCCAAAAATTCAGGAAAATCATGCCTCTTTCATGTTTGGTGGCTGTCTCGCAGCCTTCTGTCGGGTCAATCCCCCTCAGGTTTTCCGTCACCTGTGCCATATAGGCGACGCTGTGCGGCTGAGGAGGTGCTTGAGCCTGGCTGGAAATCCCGAAGCCTGGTTCAGAGGCGAAGCGGATGATTGGTTGAGCTTGGTCCATGGCTCTCAAGGCCGGAAGTAGGGGATACCTACAGTTGAACGAAGACTTTAAGACCCTCGCTGGAGAGAAGCTCTGATCATTAAGGTTGACGAGCAATGGCTACGCACACTGGTGAGATGTTCGCAGGAAGAGGCCGACGAAGCTGGACTGTCATGTGTCGAGAAGGAGGGCGTACGCTTTTGCCTGGTGGAAGCCGAAGTGCACCAGCTGCGAATTGGCGTTGCAGGAGAGTTCATGAGGCTCCAGGTGGATCATCGCGAACTCCTTCGCCTCGGTGTGGCCATGCTAGAGTCGGAGGAGGACTTGAATTACGCCACAGCCTCGGACCCTGGCCGCACTGCTTCGAAGGACAAGCCAAAGAAGAAGAAAAAGAGGAAAGAAGAGACCTCTTCGGAGGACAGTTCAGAAGAAGGAGAGGGCCTAGACAGTCTGAGAAAGAGATGGCTCGACTTTGGTTTAGAAGAAGACAAGAAAAGAAGAGAGGCCTCGCCCAGCCCCTTCACCAAACGAAAGTCGAAAAGGTTTTCCATGATAGAGGGGCAAAAAGAGGAGAAGGCCAGTGGCAGTGCAAGCAAGGAAGCCACAGAGTCAATGGTCCAAGCTGCCATGAAGACAGGGGATCCTCTCCAAGGGCTCCTAGCATTGCAGCTGGCCCAGTCCTTGAAGCAAAGCAGAAAAAGCAAGGCCAGTCGAAGAAGTCATTCGCCCAGCAGTCAGAGCGAAGACCAGACAACAAGCAGCGAAGAGGGTCGCAAGGGCGAAAGAGGCCACGCCCGTGCTGTCCTGAACTACAAGAAGTCAAGAAAACGGATGTTCAAGAACCCGGTCAAAAATGTCCGGAAATTTGTCAAAGACATGGAAGAGGAGCTGGGGGCTCAAGACAGGCCTTTCCGAATTGTCGACTACAACAAGAAAATTCCGTTCGGCAAACAGAGAAACCTCCAGCGGTGTCATTACCTGGTGTCCATCATCCTAGAGCTTCTCCGCCGGAACAGGCGGCGCTCCAATGTGTATTGACACTGCAGGCCATGCGTCAAGCAGCCATCGACGGGGGCGATTGGCAGATAGCATGGCTCCTCACACATGTCCAAGACCCTTTCCAGCGCCGCATGTTCGGCGGGGACCCCGAAGCTTTGCAGCATGTGACGACCTACCTCCGTTCAATGAACGAACTGGCAAAGTCGTCGGAAGCCTTGAAGAAGCGTGGGTCAGGAAAGGGAGAAGACGAGGAGAACGACCACCAAAAGGGCAAGGGCAAAGGCAAAGACAGAGGCAAGACGAAAGAAAAGGACAAGTCTCAGAACGAGAGCTGAGCTCAGAGCATTTGTTCGATGGGCATGTCCGCCATGTTTTTCCCGCTGTACAGTGCCTAGAGGATAGCTGGGGCTCCTTTGGGCGTTTTCGGAAACTACTAAAGTCCTCTTGTTTACATGAGAGGTCGGAGCCTAGGACACCCCCAAAGTTTGCAAAGGGGGATTCACTTTTTCCGTCTCTGCTGGTCATACCTGAGTGCACTGGTAAGTCCAAAGGGGCTCGTAGTAGGCGAGCTAGGAGGCGAGGCCGCGACGTTGCTTGGAGACATGCTGAAATCTTGTGGGCCTATTTCACTTTCCTGAATGCAGGATCTCCTCATAAGACTACCGAGCAGCATCGTCTTTTGCAGAAAGCCGTTGATGCCCGTTGGACATCGTTGCGCAAATCGTACGCCGGCTGTTTGCACGCTGAAATTCATAGGTTTGTCCGCCTTCAGAGTAGTCAGATACCCTTTAGCCGCGGCATTCTAAAATTAAATGAATTCATCAAGGTTGTCCGTAACTCAACGTACACCAGTAACCTGGCTGTTGACCAACTAACAAGAGTAGCTAAGAACGTCAAGCCTGATCGAATGTCACTCCCGACGACGGCCGGCGTCGTAGACCCGCGCAACTTTCTGAAAGGGGCGCACTTGGAGGCCTTCAATAGGATGGCCGAGGTGGTGCCGCATGACGTGGAACCCTTACATCCCACCGTGGGCTGCTACAAAGTTGAGCCTTCTGATGTCCTAGCTGTGAACCGCAAATTGCTTGCCAGTGGGGTTGCCACACTCATTCCCGAGCAGCTTGCTATGCGTGATAGCCAGGGCAGCGTAATCACAGGGGGGTTGTTTGCGGTAGACCACTAGCGACCGCATCATTCTCGACCGTAGGCCTTTCAATGAGCTTGAAAGGAGACTTGTGTGGGCTAAATTGCCCCACGGTTCCCTTCTCACCCAACTGATTGTGCCAAGCGGGTATTCGGTTAGGGGTTCGGGAGATGACCTATGAAACTATTTTTACCTTTTGCAGCATAACGAAGAGTGGCTACCAAGGAACACCATTGGGAAAGTTTTTGATGGGCAGGATATGAAGAATTTGGGGGAAGGCCGGGTAGAAATTACCTCTTGTCTTTCAGGGTGGTTGCAATGGGCGACCTCAACGCTGTGGATGTAGCGCAGCAGGTGCATCTTGAGATCCTTCGTGATTGTCAATGTATGCAGCCTGGGGAATGCATTCAATTCAGGTCCCCACTCCCCGCATCACACACCTTAGAGGGTCTATATATTGATGACCACATTATTACTCAGGTCCTACCCGCGAAAAAACCGTCCCAAAAGAGATATAGAGATGAAGTGCTGCTCGAGCAGAGCCGTGCCCAGTATGCCCACCACGGGATTCCCACTTCCCAGGGCAAAGCTTTCGAGAAAGCCGATCGCTTCATAGCCTGGGGAACTGAGCTGGACAACCGGACAGGCAGGGTCGGGGCCTCGGCCGTTAAGTTGAAGCACTTAACTCACGTGCTTGCAGCGGTGTGCCAGCTTCGCTCGGTGACAAAGAAGTTGCTGCAAGGTGTGACAGGGCTCCTAGTGCATCCCTTTATGCATCGCCGTAGCCTGATGTGCCAACTGCAGGAAACGTTCATTTGGATCGAAAGGCTTGGTGACAAGGAATCCAAACCACTGCCGGTTGCGGTCAAAGAGGAGTTGATTGGGTGCGCGCTTACTCTCCCTTTATGCCATAGTAACTTTAAATGGGATGTTTCTTGTAGGATAGGAGCTAGCGATGCGTCCCTTAACGACGGGGGAAGAGCAGCAACTTGGGTGCCTCAAAGTATTGCGCACACTCTCTATCGCTACGCAGAACATAAAGGTGAGCATGTACGTCTAGACTGGGCATCAGGTGCACTGCAGCCGGAGTCTAGCATGCAACAGGCTCCTAAAGAGCTGGAGGAAATCCTTTGGGATTTGCCTTGGAACCAGACTGAGTCTTGCAGCTTTAGCCACCGTCAGCACATTAACATTTTAGAGGCCCGCATGATACAACGAGAACTTCAGGATCTTGTACATAGCAGCGACAGACCTCTCAGGAATGTGTTAAAGGGTAGATCTTCTGCAAAAAATCTAAACAGGATTTTGAAGCAGTCGCTAGGATGGAGCTTGGCAGGGCGCAAGACCCTGCACCTTGTGTGGGTGCGGTCAGAAGCAAACCCGTCAGATTACCCCTCTAGGAAGAAACGTATCCCCGAGCCAAGAAGGGAACCTTGTGAGCTAACTAAGGAAATCTTCGGGTCACAATTGCAGGAGTACAGAGAACGAAAATCCAACCGAGATATTTGGCGGAGTGTGAGCCAAACCCGCACATGTGCCGCCACCACTGCAGACCTAGACGCTCGCCACGGATACGAAAAAAGACATGCGGGCGGATGTGCAAGCATTCTCGAGTGCGGGCTTGAAACACACCCAGCCTTGTCACTGTGGTCCTTCCGTGAGATTTTCGCTCGTTCAGGAAACTTGACTAAAACGATAGAGTGTAGGGGTAGGATTGCTGTTCAGAAGCCTTTTGAAACCAGCCGAAAACGAAACTCCGATCACGGTCAAGACATTTTAGATGATCAGGTTTTTGGGGCCCTCTGCGAAGAGGCAAGCCGACCAAAGCAGCTTTGGCATTTCGGAATACCGGTTGGATCCTTTAGCATAATGCAAAATATGAACCAGGGGACCCGGAATAGCGCCAAACCTGCAGGGGATGGTTCTTCGAAGAGAGAAAGAATAGGGAATGAAATACTGCGTAGAACCACTCACCTTTGTTTGTTGTTGCACGCTCATGGTTCTTTTTTCACCTTGGAGAACCCAGTGTCCTCTATGATATGGAAGATGCCAGAAATTGTCGCCCTCATGTCCCAATGCAAGTGCCAACTCGTGGAACTGGACCAGTGCCAATATGGATTGCGAGTTCCCGATATAGATGGCAAACTAGGGCCAGCTTTGAAGCGGACAAGGTTCGTTGGCACCATTCCACGCTTGGGTATGTTGGGTCGTTTGTGCAAAACGGACCATCACCATGTCGCTGTACTCGGCGATTGTCGGTTTCTAGGGAAGTGGCGCAAAAGGTCTCAAATCGCCGGCCCCTACCCGGCATCACTGTGCAAAGCATATGCCAAAGTGTTCGAACAAGCATTCGTAAGCTAGGTTACGTAAGTGTGGAGTTTTTTGTTCATGCATGCATGTGACAACTAATTTGTCGTTTTTACCTTTGCATGTGCATGTTTTGCCGTGATGGCTGACCTACTCAGATCCGGCACTTGCAAGCTGCATTGGAAGAAGTATAGCAAGGCTTACCGTGACCGCCTTCTGGAAGGCAAACAGTCACTAGGAGCTTTCATCAATGAGCATGGGTTAGATTGGGCAGCGGTGCAACAAGGAAAAGCAAGCCGCGTGGATGAGTTTCTCGAACTTTACGTGAAGCACATGTTTGCAAAACAGAAGTCATCATCGCTAAGAGTGGCAAAGCACGCAGTGCTGTTTGTGCAAATCATGAGACCACGTCTGAAGAAATCTCTTCAGGCTACATGGGACTCGCTGAAACCTTGGGAAGAACAACGGCCTGCCAATTTTAGGCCCCCTCTACCTGTGGGGCTACTAGCCGCAATGGTTGTCCACGCCCGGCTTCTGGCGACAAAAAGCTGCAGCAAGGAAGCTGATTTGTGGTACGACTTTTCAACACTTCTGCTGGTGGGTTTTTTCGCCTTGTTACGGCCGGGTGAGCTCTTCGGTCTGACAGAACCCGATGTTGCTCTGCCCAACGCGCTGTCGCTCGGTGCATCCTTTGCTGTGTTGAAAATCAGACAGCCAAAAAATGCACGCCAACTGGGCGTCCAACAGTATGCTGAAGTGCGTCATCCAGACGCCATTAACTGGCTCACTTGGTTGACTTGCCGTCGCAGGAAAATGGGTGGACCTCTGTGGGGAAGCACGGCTTCGCGTTTCAGACGAATGTTCCGTGCAGTCTGTGACGATCTGCGCATCCGGGACTTGAGACTTTTGCCGGCCTCTTTGCGGGCCGGGGGGGCGTCATGGCTAGTAGCAACCGGGACAGACATTTCCAAAATTCGGTTTCAGGGTCGGCGGTCGCACAAGCCTAGAACACTACATCCAGGTAGCACGATCTCAGCAAATTTCCTTGTCAATACCGGGCCGGACGGCAGACCGGTTGCAGTGTTTGTTGCGAAAGTACGCGTTTCTTTTGACTTTGCCTGCCTTCTTAGCAGCTCAAACCCCAACAAACCACCTGGTTGCGAGCTGTGTGCTTGAAATCAAGTCGACCAGCCATGTCGCAGCGGAAATCAGAGCCTGGGGAAAACTTGCAGAAACAGTTTACTTCTCCGGCGGGCCCTTGAAGGGGGGCGCGATTTCTGGATGTTGGGTGGGATGATTTGAAGAAGGCAGCCAAGAGCTACAAGGGAGATGCACGTTTCAATCAGTTTGCCAAACGGTGCATTTCTGAGAGAGCGCTTTCGCATGACATGGCCCACACCCCTGACCCACAACACTCAACCGATGTTGTGCACGAAAGCAGTTTTGCCAGCAAGTGTAAGAAACTCGGGCTGTGGGTTTGGAGCAAGGCAAAAGGCAAGATTTGTTTTTCCATTCTTGTAGGTTGCTTCATTTTTGTGCTTCTCTCTAGACCACTTTTCTACGTGGTCATCGCGAAAGCGTTGGCCTTGTGTGTGCGTGTGGCTCTCAGGCGGTCCTTCGGATTGTTGGTGGTCCTTTTGGACGCGATCCTAGATGAAGCTGTTGCTAACCTTGAACCAACTTTGATTGCTCCCCCTCATTATGGAGCACCGCCGCCATACACTCCACACACTTTTGAGTTGCAACAACCCTTTTCCCTGAGCGGTCTTTTGTTGCATGGACTCTGCACCTTAATCGGGGCAATGATAGGCCATCGTTGGCCACGGGCAAATCGCCGACCGCCCTAAGTGCTTAGTGGTTCATTTTTGCCCTGGGAGGTTTGGGAAGGTTGGTATTATAGTAGGGTTGGTATAGTCAGGTCTCCATGTTGAATAAGCATCCGACCACGTTCAAAGCACAAACTCATGGTGCCAATTGCCCAGAGCTCCGTGAGCCGACTATCACCATTCCTTGTGCACGTGCCAGCTGGCAAGCATGCTGCCGAACGGCAGTATCGTAGGCCACTCGGCCAACAAGATGTTCAGGTGCGCTCCAGAAAAGAGAGGGCGCCGGCTGCGGAGACTGGGCGCAACACATGCTTGTTCACCAACTTGGCTGCCTCATCGGCTAAATTGTTACCCAAAGGTCGTCAATGCCAGTTGTCTTGGAGTTCTGCCGATGAGATTTCCTTTTGGACATATGATGGTACAAAGGGTTCCAGTTATCAGCAAGAATCTGAACCAAGTCAGCATGCGCTAACTGGTATGCTTTTGCATTCAAGTTTTCATTGGCAATAGCTTCAACAATTTTCAGCAAAAACTGGGAATCTGTATGAACTGACATATAAACTGTAGGTCGGTGATCACGGAAATGCTTTGCAAGCCATGTTACGGCTTCAAGTTCACTACGATTGATGGTTTGAAATCCATTTGTGTGAGACGTTTGTGTATAAAATCATTCACAGAGGGATCATGAGCCGGTTTGGATATTTGCTGTACGATTGCCCATTCCGCCCGGCAGCAATTCAATTCAGTAGGTCTATCAGTGGTCCCATTTGTATAGAACACACAATGTTATTGATCATCTATGTTTGGAGAATCAAGGAACAGACCTTGACGAATGTTTTCTATCCTCCACATGCTGTAGTTGAAATTCCTTCGTTAAAGAGGTGCCAGCATCCTCCCAAGTAGCTTCCTCTCCCAGTGCCACTCTGGTTGCAGGATGGCATGCGCCCCTTGCACTTCGCTGCTCAGTCCGCCTCTGAAGAAGAGGCCACCAATGTTCAAACAATACGTTGCACTGTTCTACATGCATGCGTTGCATCGGATGCATCCCCTCTCACGTGGACTCAGTTACTCTGCTCGTTAGCGTCTTCGGAGGTGTGCAGATTGTTAGTCAAAGGAGGGGCCGATGTGTCTTCAATCGCCTGGCAGCCAAGACACGAAACACACTGTTGCTTCAACTCGACGGCAAAGAGTTTAGTTTTTGTTCAATCCTCGAGATTTGCGCAAGTTACTCTCTACCGAGAAGCAGAAAGGTAAGAGACTAGTGACTAGCTACTGTGTGTAGTCCTCAAGGACCGTGACTCTTGTGAAAGCTCTCTATGCTGCATAGGGCCAGAAGGGTTTGCATCAAGTTGAAGATGCACCCATGGAAGGCAAACTAGTGTGATTTTCTGACATTCAAGGATTCAATGACAGGCGTTTGTGTTTATCGTCAGGATGATGATGGCAAGCGGCCAGTGGATTTTTTGCCTAGTGAGGGACTTAAATGGTCAGCAGTTCAAATGGAGATGGGAACGTGTCGAAATGGGTTGCTCGCTGCTTTCAACTTTGTGTATTTTTTTGATATCCCACGTTTGCTGTGGCTTGTTTTCTGGTAGCCCGTAGGCAGCAATTGAGTTTCTGGATTCCACTATATGACTATATACTTTCAAAACTCCCAAAGTGTCTTCCGAACGAAGGGAAAAGAAGATGTGTAAGTTGATGCGTAGACTGCGTAGACTACAGAATCGCAAAATACTAGGTTGGAGGCCATCGCTGGTAGGTTGGAGGCCATTGTTACTAAGATGGAGGCCATCGCTATTAGGTTAGACTTTTGGAGTGTCGATTTTCTGCGGCGCAGCCACTCAGCCACTTGAATTCTCACAAGTGGCTGAGTGGCTGAAAGGAGCCGTGGTAGTGAGTTGTTGAACCTCTGAACCAATGATCTAAACTAACTGGACATAGAGAATGCAAAGGAATGACACCATTTCATTTATATGAGTTTAGTGTGCTTGACCATTCCTATGAAAACAAACATGTGTCTTTGGAAAACAATGTTGTAAGCGTGACTAGGCATCCTCGTTTGTGCCATCCTTGACGCCAATTCCGTGCAATCCTTTGGGTTCTGGGTTGTCCTTTGCAGTTTGTTCAGTCTTTTTGACTCTTTTGCCTATATATTCTTTTGTTGTCCGGCTTCGCAGCTGGTCATAGTCTCATTGTTCTTGAAGTTCAAGCAGCGGTTCAGAGTCTTGCCCACTAAGCGACTTCCCCTCAAGTGAACCTCCATATGTGGTGGGTAGGTGTGACAGTGACAGACATTGGGATCATTTTGTTTGAGTTTTTGTTCTTCCACGCGCAGATGATGGCACAACGAGTCCACCAAGGGTGAATGAAGCGGACGTTATAATCATGATCACCTGACTGTTGTATGTTTCCAACTCTTTCCTTTTCTTTTAGTGTTGCTGTTTGTGCTTTTGTTTTGGCTTGTTTGGTCGCGCCTTAAGGAGTTACACCATCTGGTATACATCATGAGCTCTTTGTATCCGTTCTCCATCTTCGCAATATAAACTCATCCAAGTCCAACGCTTCAATTGTCGCCGAATCGAGACTTGGGCCATTGCTCGATCCAGCTTCAGCATGTTGCACATCACATCCTGCGAAAGAGTCCCACTACAAGACCTGATTTACCACATTGAGGCCAAGCGAGACATCTAGCTATGAGGAAATTGCTAATGGAGCCCACGATTGAACTGACCTGAAAGAGTTCCGAACTGTGAACTAACCATGTCTCTTCTTGAGGATGCTACGGTACCGTGCCCCTCTCTGCTTCTACTAGTTGTAGTACAATCCTTCACAGAACGAAGAACAAGAACAGGACAAGAAAAATCAATGCAATGATCATCATGGATGAGATTGGATTTGCTGGAAGCATGCCTTGCAAGATACGCCTGGACCGTTTGGCCATTCCCTCGGATAACAGCAGCTCGGGTCGAGATTTCAATCCATAGGTCTCTCCATGTCCTGCGAAATGTAAAAGCACTTTCATGTCGTCTGGATATCTTTTTCAGGATAGACTTGATGGGCCACAATCAAGCGAATGCAGGACTTTACGGAAATAATGCTGAGCTGCTCCTTGAGCGGCGGAGTCAATATGGAGGAGTGGTTGTTGGAATTTTGACCCTGCTTGTCTAATTAATTTGTCGACAAGTTATACGGAGGGGGTTTCCTTCCTTTACCAAGTTTTGGATTTTCTTCCTTACTTTAGTGTGACATGCCTTCGCCTGGACAGAACTTCTTCGCAGAGATCTTGGATGAGTTGGGACGTTGTGAGTGTGTATCATCCTGAGTGACCTTCCAAGCCCCGACACCCCTTGAACCTCAGGCCATCCATAGGAGAAGAGAAGCGCAGACACACACACAAGCAACACACAGCCTAGCAGATCGTCCGACCATGAGTCTTCGGATACCACGGAGTTCGCGACGGACGCCAAGAAGGGGACGCTGATATTGAAAGACGTTCAACGCCCGGAGTGCCTTCCCCACAAACTCACAAAAGCTCTTCCAGAATCGCTGGTGTTGAAACTCCGTGATGGCATGTGGGCATCGGATACAAGTGCCAGTCTTGAGCAGGTGGCTCAAGTGTTGGCTTCAATCAAATTGGATTTGCAGCACCAATATGTTCCTCGACCAAGTCGACCAATGACACTCCGACGTCCACAAACTTCGCAAGCCGTGGGGATCCACTAGGCATACTTATGTGAAGATCTTGTGAAGGAGTCCAGGAGCATTCAGCCCCGATGAAGCGAAATGACGTTGCCGCAACATTCCTCGCCGCGCTGACGTCACCGAAGATTTTTCTCTGATCGAGGGCGGGAAAGACGCAGCTGAGAGCGAGTGAAAAGGTCCCAAGGTAGTCGCAACTGTATCGCCTCGTTTCTCAGATTCGTTCGGAAACAATCCAATGCCACCAATGGCGGTCCACCACGTAAAGGGTTGTTGGAGAACAAATCCCTCCGGGCAATTTGGGAAACGTCGGGTTGTTGCAGGGTTGGATAGGAACTTTAGCCCAAAATGTAAGAGGCAACTATTGATGGGATCAACATCCAATATACTGTATGTTGAACCTCGACTCCACGGGTTACCGATGGTGGGGCAATAGATTGTACTAGAATCTGGAAGGGGCAGCGCGGAAACCAAATCGGCCAGAAAGACATGGTTGATGCATTTTCGATGTAACTAGCGCAATGTTATATCAACAATCAACATGTCTGAACTAGACACAAGTTTGCTTGAGCAAGGCAGGTTTTGTTAAACAAATCAACCGCACAATGGCTTCTTTCATGCAAAGTGCGTTGCAGGGCAACGGAGAGTTTGCAGAACAAAGCAAGTCACAAACAGTATGTACATTTTCAGCATTTATGGGGAGAAAGAGCACAAAGAATGCAACGCCCCACAGAAGTTGTGTCATCTACATTCCTTCTGTGTGAGTTCTCCAAGCAGTGTGGTCACACTTAGGGATTCTTGCCGTAAGTGCTAAGGCCGGGTATTTTGATCGGTGGTGCTCATCGGTGTGTGATGATCGAACTGCGTTTCGACTGCATAGGCTCGCTAAGACTGCTGGTCCGCGAGCTGTGCTTCCCTTCACTGCGCTCCCGTTGTGTCACTTTTCCAGGCGCAAGAGAAACCTCGTGATCAACTTAGGTGGTCCAAAGTCAACTTTTCGTGGCAGGTGCAGGAGATCGGAGTGCTCTTACTTTGATGTGCAGATTTCGCAGCAGGTGCTTTGGACATGGTGATGGTCTTCGGCGCGGACAATCTTGGCCACGCGTGCCTGGTTCAAGCTTCGCCCTCCACTCCCACCCTCGTCCTCTGCGCAGGGTGTGAAGAACCCAACCCTGTTTTGGTGCCGATGGCCTGTACGAAATTTCCTTTGGCTTTGGAGAGAAACATGTGCGAAAGATGATTCTCACACACACATATATATATATATACATACAGAAATGCCTACTTGTATGACATACACGAGCAATATCACTATCAGATTGTCCTCGCTGGCAATCACTTGATGCCAACAAATTGGCTGGGAAAGCTTGATCAGTGGATAGTGACGTGTTCCAATATTTGCTCATGACAATGGTTGATATAGAGGTCTAGAAAAGCATGAACGAACAAGGAAAACAAAGCTCATTATGACACACGCAGTAGAACCTGTCTGGAAAGTACAAAAGACATGCATACAAGTTGGGCTTGCAACTGGTCTCACAGTCTTCTGAACAACCGTTTATATACGCCTTGCAATTTTTGACGAAGGAGTCATCACACAATAGAACAAATCGAGCAGATGAAGGACAACACAACAAACAATTTGACTCCATCAAAGCCCAGACATGCCCTGATTGAGGAACTCCAAATAAACCAAGAACAAACAGATCAGATCAGGTTAGGTACAACAGATTTTTCAATGCAACTTGTAAGGGGCGAGGGGTTGGCAAACGTCAACTCCATCAACCTCAGCCTACGATCCAATCCAGCCACTCAGCCACTTAAGTCTGAGTGGCTGAGTGGGCTGCTTCGCAATACCGACCCAGATTGCAAATCCATTCATATTTTCAGTTGTGAATGAGGTGATCAAGCGCTGGGGGGCCAGCGGCTGCACTGGGAGGCGGTCTTTCCAAGTGAGCTTCACAAACTTTCTATGTGTGAACGTTTGCATCGTGTTTCCTGCACTCTTGCAGCTTGGAGGAATTGCTTGGGTCACCATCTTCAGCACGTGTTGAGATGCAGGTTCGCGAAAAGGTAGTTCCATGTTTATTGAAAGGTACTGTTCTTTTAGGAGAGCATACGTAAATATTGCCGATCTGCTTGCCAGGCGCCAACGGGCCTAGGCGGAGTATCGTCTTTGCGACAGCTCCAGGCCAGACAGAGGAAGCAATCGACTCTCTGGGGTGGATCACCCAAGAAAGCTGACTGGAACATGAACTAGTGAACCACAAAAACACAGAGAATCGAAGGATAGATCAATGATGAATGTGCCGCGCCCCACTCCCTTTGTATTGATACTCTGATAGTGATAGATCAGCAACACCATGTCACCCCGTCTATTCAGGTCCAAGGACACTCTCAGCCCCCTACCCCCACCTAGAATGTTTCAGCTTCAGGTTTTATTCTTGCTTCAGGGCAGGTTGAGATTGTGTAGCAATGTGTAGCATGTATCTCGTCGGTTTGTCAGGCGGCGACGGTTCTGGCTGCTGACACGGACAGGGCGTAGCCTTCACGTTTTTTGCAGTGTTTTCACGTAGAAGCTTTCGCAGGGGCAGGTAGTAAGAGCTTATCAGTGAAGACCTGCGGCAAATGCAGTTTGCGGTGTGGTTTTGTTTGAGTTTGAACAAAGTCTGCGTTCTGTAACCTGTATTTTTTTTGTCTATTGTGAAGTGACTCCAGGACAACATGGAGGCTGATCGATTGTGGCTGACTGATGAACCACTCCGGAAACCAGGTTTGGGACGTGCTTAGAAGCAAGCTCTGAGCCATTCCAACCTATAGGTTGTGTCAGTGTTTGTTCTCTCAATTTGAACATGTCAGAGTGTGTTGACAGGAACTTTAGGTGCGCAAAACATCAGGCCATTCTTTCTTTCTTCATGCAATCTTGCCATTAGCAAAGGGTGCTTGGGCTGATCCTGCCTAGCGAGTTTCACCCAGTCTGGAGTTTCTTCTTCAACATTGGAGAGGTTGACTCTACCCAAAGCGGTATCCAGCGTCAGAAAGGGGCCTGTGCTTGTCGGGTTTGCTCGTCGGTTTTGCCACCGCTGCGGCTACTACTAGTACGACTACTGCGACTACTACTTCTTTGGTTCAGCAACTGGGTTTTCTTGTTCCCTCTTTTGGGGCCTTTCTCCAGAAGACAGAAGACACCCATACACCCACATTTGCGATGCATTTTTGCTCAAAAAAATGCTTTGCCTAGCTCGAGACCGGCTTCGACCTCAGAATGTGAAGACACCTCACAACTGTCGATTGTGGTTTTGGACTCTGGATCGTGAAGCCTCAGCCCTTTTTTGCGTCCAAGCCTAAGAAACTACTTAAGCTACTAGTAATTTTCCTCACTCTTCTGGGCTACCCACTGCCCTCCTTTTCCCCACCGTTTCGATGTTGCAGCCACAGCCAGAGTCTCGAGGCGTGTCTCCGCAAAAGCGGTCCGTCGCCGGTTGGCGTCGGTGATGCAGTGGCTGCCTCCGGTGCGCAAATGTAACGCTGTTGTGCTGAACGTAATGTACCGCAGTTCTAGGTTCCAAATGTCACCTTACTTCAATAAGTATGCTGCCTTCTTTGCCTAGGTTCTTCACCATTCCCCCATCTCAGATTGGTGCAGGGAATTTGAATTACTGTTCTGTGAAAGATGTATGTTGTAAACCTCAAATTGAATACCTTTGGACAGACTGAGGGGTCTTGACACTGCCTAACCAATCTGTTTGGTGGGCAGTCTGGTCCCTAGAAAACTTAGCATTGCTCAATTGCAGCACGGTCGCCCGAACTTCAATTTTCACTGGACACTTCAATGTAGTCTTCAATCAAGAACAGCTCAAAGGACGCCCATGGAGAAGATGACTCAAACAATTGGGCTTGGTCAAATGATTATGCAGATGCTGTGTGAAGAACTTGATAATGCGCAGGTCTCAACTCCAAAGACTATAGGCGAACGCTTCTTGGCAAAGTTCAAATAGTTCTGGCTTGTCCAGGGTTGTCCAAGAGCTGGTCCTCCAAGTTGTCTCAGAGATGTTTCAATATATTATATATATATATATGTACTCTAAGCTTTTTTGTTTGGCCAAGGTTAAAGCACAATTGGGCATGTCAGCGCTGCCCTACTCCCAACACCCAGGCTAAACTTTCCCAGCAAGAACGCTTTTGCTGTCTGAGCTGTGCTGCAACACTTCTGGAGCTTAGCACAGCTTGCTGTCGTTGCCGTGCCGACATTCTTGGTCCAGGCATGATGCCAGAGCCGGCGGCTGAGTGACCATTGCGTATCTGAACGTTAGAGAGATGACGCCCATGAAATCCCTGACCTTCTTCTGTTCTTGGTATCGGACAGGCGTGCTGCTGGAATTTGGCATGAGCCAGCTGGAGATGTGTGTTTCTCAGACTGGACAATAATGCTTGTGATACATGAATGCAAAACTTTTCCAGCTGAGCGTGCTTTGTTACTTTGAGATAGTGCGAAGACTGGTGCAACTTGGTGCCAGGGATACCAATGGGTTGATGGTCCTGTGCGAGCCTTCGTGTCATCCGGTCAACAGAAGTACTGTAGCCAGGGCCAAGCTTTTGCCTGCTTGATTTGCCGTGAGTTTAGCAACACACGCTTGAATTGAACAACACATCCATGAATACTACAATGAATACGATAGCATTCAACATGTGTTGTTAGGCAGAGCGCTTGCCTCAGGCTTGATCGGGATTGTTTTGAATGCTAAGTTGCCCGCACTGGATCAAATCCCACTTTGGTTCGCTTTGTTGTGGTGAGTTGTTTGGGTCGAAGAGCTTCGCCTCCCTTCTGGCCAGAAGGCTACTGCCTTCTTCAACAGTTGTACAGCTGTCAATTGCTCCACAAGAAGTACACTGCATACATGAGTAATTACTCCATGCTCATTTTGTTCGCAGTTTGAGAAAGGGGGTGGGCCATATGCTAGACGCAGCTGGGACGAGCAACGCTGCCCCTATTCTGTTTCTACAAACCAATCATGATTCCTCCTTACCCGTCTTTCATTTGCCACTTTTGTTCTTTGCTCTCGCTGCTATCCTTCTCTAGCTTCTCCATCTCTTGTTTTAAGATGCTTGATTCCCATGTCTTGCTCCTCACATGCACTCTGTAAAGGTCCTGTTCTAAGATCTTTCATTGTGACAGGTCCAAGCACCACAGCAGCCTTCACAGGCGCATGGAATTGAGAGTCGGGTTAGGTCTTAAGCGACATTTTGTCCAGTGACAATATTGCAAAGGAAGCTCGAAGTTTTTGGGAGAGAGAGTAGAAAAGTAGCGACAGAACAAGTTTTCCGCTTTTTGAACATGTCAGCTATCTGATATGCTGAACTGATCCGAAGACAGGCTCTTATGAACTGTGACCTGGCTAGGCTCCGCAGCCTTCCGTGTATCCCACACAACCTCAGGTGCGTTCCCATGCCTTTCTGTATCTTGTTTTGCTTGTTCCCTTTTGCTTCTGTGCCTTGCTCCTGTTGGATTTACTGGAGTGTCAAAGAAAACGATACCCATCATATTCGGGGAGAATAGGAATGGTCAAGACGCGAAGGCGAGCTGGTTTGCAACACGTATTCAAGAGCAAGGAAAAGCGTGGCGGAGTGAATCCGAACAGCCAACATGGCAAAAGCATCAAAAGCACAATATAAGTAGTGTTGTCACATAATCCAATGCAAAGGAAAGAGCAAGCGCATATTTGCAAGGCTTGCAAGCTGCAAACTCCCGCAATGCACATATATAAGCTCATGATGGCGACCAAGAATAATCGAGACAAAGCAGATCGCCCAACAGACACAAGGGGCAGAAGGCTGCATTCGGCCTAATGCTACGCCTGCAACACTTTGCCTTGAAGCGATTTGCAGTACAACCAGTATGACCATCATCATTACAAGACAACTTGCATTGTTCTTCTTCCGTTTAGAAGCACCAGCTACCCGAGCATGGGGTAGAAGGCTCGGCTACCCTTGAGGTAGGTAGCCCAGGTGGTTGTTGCAGGACCCACGAGCTCGACTTCCATCAGGAGCCACAAAGTATTCACAAATTCATCCTCCCAGAATCATTCCGAATCTGATCTGCACATCGGCAAGGACTGCGAGAAGAAAGAGAGGCGAGCAATAAAGCTCTCATCACAGCACTGCAAGAACAGTCCCAACACACAGGTCAAACTCTTGAATAGTGCCATCCACGAGGATGTACTTCAAACAATGCTTTGGCATGGCAGCACGGCACAGACACCATAAAGATCCATAATGTGTCATCAAGGATCAATAATCACCGCAGTAAGGTCTGCCTCAGCATCAACTGAAGAAAAAGTGCAGCGAGAGGAGAGCAACCCACTTAGTGACTTGATAGTACATCAAGTGATCCACATCATTGCTGCTGTAGAGCTACAGGCATAATCACAGTGCAAAGGCGGGACTTCTTGAAGGTCTCAATCCACACGAGAATAAAATATACTGCAATGCTTCAGCACGGCACCATGGAGACTCCACCGTAAGGTGTCGACAAAAGGCCCAAATATTGCACCAGAATGTGCCAGCCCCGGCGAGCATGCACACCAGAATGAACCAAGTGATGAGGAGGATGATTGAACCAAAGTTCCGTCACCAGTTCAATAAGTGGAAATAGCTCAAGAAGAGCGCAGAAAACAGCCCATACAGCCGCAACATCAGTTGAGACAAAGGCAAAGGATCAAGATCCAAGGTGTATCACGGTACAGTAGGGAAGAATGGCGCAAGGTCTATGCATGCGATATATGCCGCACAAGGCGAGCTGCGAGATACCCTAAGAGGCAGGATGCACATCGACACGCCACCCTACCCCCAATCACCCACGGCATATGCATCCGGAGGCAAGGTATCGGCGCCGCTGTTACAAGCAACTTGCATTGACATTTTGGAGTCTTCTGGGAATGCCCAACATCAGAAGAACAACAGAACTCAATGCCTGAGAGACTACTTGGAAAAGCCTTGTTGTTACATTCTTGAAACTCTTTTTGTTGACGCATAATCTTAAACAATGGGCACAAACGACATGCATTTGCATGCCTGCAATGACACTGTTTTTTGCATGGAATCGTTCAGTTGCACAGGCTGGCACGCAATGGGTGGACAATCCCACGCCTCCACCTGTTCAGGATATGGTCAGCTATCTTAGCTCGACTGGCGTTTTGTCACAGCATGTTGTTCATTCATGCACTGTCACCTGCGCTTCCTTTGTGGGTTGTTGGCATGTGTTGGAATGGCACTGTTTCCAGCTACGTCAGCTATGGTCTTTGAATGAATTCTGTATGCCATTATCCTTATCAAGCACTTGAACTCAAGTCAATCATCAGAGCAAGTTTTCTGAAAGAAGGTTGATGAAGATCCATTTGCAGGTTTACCAGTGGGTGGACAGCCCTTCTTATGGACGTCCCGGTGCACCAGCAGCGGCACCAGTGCCACCTCAACAGTGCGTGCAGGTCGGACTTTGTCAGACTGCATTTTTCGAAACGCCGTTTGCTTTTCTTTGGTTTTCTATTTGTGCAATATCTCCGAAATCATCAATTTGCCCCTTTCACCGCAGGCAGCCAATCCATACTATCCAGGCGTGAACTTCAGACATGTGTCACTTTCCCTTCGCTTCAGCGTTTCACCCTTTGCTTCAGTGCTTCATTGCCTTGCTTTTGTGTTTTGTTCTGAGGGGGCGACCCCTATGGTGCTCTTCCCCGCCCAATGGACAGAGATTTGTGTGGGAGAAGGAATTGGAGGGCAATATGCACATGGTTCCAAAACAGCATCGTCTTGTGTTTGGCCATTATGTCCAAGGACAAGATGGCTTTGAAGCCCACTCAGCCTCATGATTATGAGGTTGTGTTGTGAAAGTAGTAAGTAACAAGCTCGAAAAAACACATTGGGACAGTCTTCAGGACCCGATGGCACTTCAGCCTGGAATTGATCCTTTGAGACCTCCAATTCAGGCAGAGGGCATCAGCTTCAAAACTTCAAAACTAAGTTGGGAATAGGCAAGTGACGCCAGTACCAAGAACGGAAGCACAGCTTAAAATGATTTCATAAGACACAAAAGGTCCCTTACCCCTGACCTTATTGCCAACCTGTACCCCCTTCTGATTATGCTTACTACCCCTTCCTTCGACTAGTTACTAATAAGCGGCCGCTAGGAGGCCGTTCTACTTGCGAGAAAGGGGTTGCTCGGGACAGGTGGCGCGGATCAGCGCAAACAGGGAGATCCAGCACCTGAATCCCTTAACGCCTGAGCAAATCAATGGTCACCAATACTGTTTAAGTCAGCAGAGACATAACAACGCCCCGAGTGGTCGTAAAGGGGCCCAAATCCCAACATATAACATAATGGAAGTGAAAAAGAGATCATTTCCCAAACAGTGTGGTCACACTAGGGGTTCTTACGGTAATGGTTAAGCACCGTGTCTAATCGAGGTGTTGCACCGGGGCGTCCGGCTAATTCGCTGCTATTAACAGTACATTCATGCTTCTCGAAATGCTCGAAGTGCATTTCGACTGCGCAGGCTCGCAGAATCTGGTTGCCGCGGCGGGTGCTTGTCACGACTGTGCTCTCGTTGCGGTGCCGTGCACATTTTCGGACATGGTGGTCGCTTGTCGTGGCAGGCGCAAGGGAAACCTCGGGGTGGTCCAAGGTCGACTTTTCGTGACAGGTGCAGGGGATCCGATAGATTTTACTTCGAAGTGCAGATTTCGTGGCCGGTGGTGCAGCACTTTGGACATGGTGGAGGCATTCTAAGTTCGTGACAGGCGCAGTTAATCGTGACTTTTCTACATGTCGCTCGTTTTCCGAAATCGGGGGACGTCTCGCGCGAAGCTGTGTTTTGGTTATTTGTATGTTGTCTTTGGAAGCGTTCTTGCTGCGAAGCGCCTTGTCAGGGCTGCCGCATGTGAATCTTGAAGTGCAGGTTTCGTGGCAGGCGCAGCACTTTGTGACCCTCAAAGTGCTGATTTTGTGGCGGGCGGAGCATTTTGTGAACCTCGAAGTGCAGATTTGGTGGCAGGCGCAGCACTTTGTGAACCTCGAAGTGCACATTTTGTGGCACAGTTTGTGAACCTCAATTCAAATTTTGTGGCAAGCCGCAGCACTGTGTGAACCTCGAAGTGCAGATGTCGTGGCGGGTTGCAGCGCTTTGTGAACCTCAAAGTGACGATTTTGTGGTAGGCGCAGTAGATTGATTGTGAACCTCGTAGTGAAGACTTTGCGAACCTCGCAGTGCAGATTTCCAGGCGCAGCACTTTCCGCCTTCTGAGGCGTGCTCTCAGAAGCGTGCTCTGATGACTGTGCACTCATTCTCATTCTCATTCTCGTCAGGGGTTGGGTGAAGGGCTTGATGAGCTGGGGTCAAGCTGGTCAGTGGAAAGAATGGCGCCTACCTCCACCGGTTGGGTGTACATCTCATAGTGTTGAAACGCAGACAGGGACGTCAACGACGCGCCAGGCCGTAGCCGACAACTTCCATCATGTAGAGCATCAAACCAAGATTGAACCTCAGCGATGAGGAAAGCACCTTCATGAAGACTGGCGATTCGAGCAGCTTGAAGAGGTGGAAGCCGTGACTCATGGTGAAGGCTAGCCACCAATCCAAACCATGCAAATCAGCCATGGTGCGCCGACGTTGGAGGCTGATCAGGAAAGCGCGCCCAAAAGTGCCGGTTTGGATAGCGCCAAACGGTCAAAATGGAGCCCGCAATGGTCATGAAGGCCCGAGGCAGCTGTAAAGGACCACCCCAACTGATGACGCAAACCCATCAAAAACGAGCAAGGACCACGGTACTTGCAACTGAAATTGTCCACGAACTGAGTCAACAGAGAAAGCAAACTAGGCTGTTTCTTGCACAGCTGCCGGACGTCGGACAAAATATGCCAGCCTCTAAATGCATCAGGATCTAACAACAAGGTGCCGACCAAGCCGAGTAATGGCGTCGATGCCCACAGGATGTTGGTGCTTCAAAGCTGCAAAAGACGACGATCACCGGATTGCCTTAAGGGTGCAACGCTGCCGAAAGCCTGAGGCTGAAGGTAAAGTCCTCGAGAATCACCTCAAAGACCTCTAGGGATGGAACTGCCAGAGGCAAAAGGGATGTCGTTGAGGCCAGTCCATGAATGGTCCCAAAGCCGCGAGCAAGCTTGACTCTTTGAGGGGTTTCTTCACGCTGAATCCAAATGGGCTGATTGGGCGACCTACCCCAAAGTGTTCGTGGGTGAGACGACAACTGCCACTACGCGACCACCGCCTGAACGCCAGCAGCTTCATGTCGAGATCCTTCACAAATCGGCGGCCAAGCCCAGGCCCTCATTCTCTCCAAGCAGGACGACGTTTGCCACGCTGCCGAATTGCCATTCCTCAACGTGGACTCCAGTCTCCAATTTTGGTGAAGCTGTGCAACACTCCATTGCATCTTCACTCTCGTATTTGGATTTCCACCACGCATGGATCTCTTTCCTACCTGAGCGCTCTTGCTTCCTACTGCAGTTCGCCAACTTTATGGGCCTCGTCCACCTCCACAAGCAGGTGACCGTTTGCTCCTTCTTCGCTGTTTGCAGCATCGTTGGCAGGCCGTTGAGATCTCCTCCCATGATTTCTGGATGGCGCGGTGGACTTCCTCACCTGGCCTCGCTCATTCAGCCGAGGTATCATGACCTCATGTCTGGCGCAACGACGCTTTCATCAAACGGACTTACTTGCTGCAGCAATGAGCCACCTGAGCAGCCTGGTCCTTCCACAGGACAACCGGTGTGTGATTGATTCGGTAGTGGAAACTTGAAGGAAAACACATCCATACAGGCTGTAAAGGGATCAGTATACTCATGAGGGTTGGCTGCTACCCCAAGCACTTCGAGCGCGGCAACGCTTGGCCTTTTCCATTGAGTTCCTAAAAAACATTCCGGTAAGAAACCCCAAACAGTGCGTGTGAGGTTTAGAGGTGTAGCAGCAGAGAGTCTAGGGATCTAGACGCGTTGGGGGTCCACAAAGCGATGGCGGCGATGAAGGTGGAGATTGTGGTGATGGTGGTGGTGGTGGCGGTGGTGGGTGGTGGTGTGAGTGTGAGTGCCAGTGAGAGTGAGTGCGAGTGTGAGTGTGAGTGTGGGTGTGGAGTGTGAGTGAGTGCGAGCGAGTGTGAGTGTAAGAGTGAGAGAGCGAGAGTGAGTGCGAGTGTGAGTGAAAGCTCATGAGAGTGAGCGTGGAGAGCAGTGAGAGTAGTGAGACTGAGAGTGAGACTTGAGAGTGAGACTGAGAGTGAGAGTGAAAAAGAATGAGGGCGAGAGTGAAGCTGAAGCTGAGACTGAAAGTGAGAGTGAGATTCAGACATGACAACGAGCATGGGAATGAGAATGAGAGAGAGAGAGAGAGAGGTTGAGTGAGTAAGTGAGTGAGTGAGGGAGTGCGATTGTGATTGTGATTGTGATTGCGATTGTGAGTGTGAGTGTGAGTGTGAGAGAGAGAGAGTGAGTGAGTGAGCGAGTGAGCGAGCGAGCGAGCGAGTGAGTGCGGGAGTGCGTGAGTGCGTGAGTGGGTGAGTGCATGAGTGGGTGAGCGGGTGAGTGGGTGAGTGGGTGTGGGTGAGCGGGTGAGTGGGTGAGTGAGTGAGTGAGTGAGTGAGAGAGTGAGAGTAAGTGGACCTACATCAGACAGGCTTGACAAGGCCTTCTTTAAGAAGTGGACCTAGATGGCTCGTCCTCTGATGGCGGAGTTGGAACCCTCGGGCCACCACTCTTTGGCGCGAACGCTTCAAGTGAACGAAGTCATTCGAGAAGAAGAAACAAAACTGAAAAGGGCAAATGAGTGCCTTGGAATTGGGACCCAGGTGTGCTGTATATATGAGCTTCCTTACGAAGAACAAGAAGAAAGGTAGTTCAGGTACTAGATCACTCCCCCGCCCCGCGCACAAGTGCCAAACCGCCCACTCAAGTGACAAGCGCCAGCAGCCACAGCGCCAAACAGCGGACGCCGTCCAGGAGGGTGGTGAAAAGGCACTGGAGCGCAGGATGAGGTGTGGCAAGAAGCCTGCGGCAGCGCAGCAAGGCTCGTCGCCGCATTTGAACAGCGCGTGGCCCTCATCATCATCATCATCACCGTCACCATCACCATCACCATCACCACCACCACCACCATCATCATCATCATCACCACCGCCACCATCACCATCACCACCACCACCACCACCATCATCATCATCATCATCACCGTCACCATCACCACCACCACCACCACCGCCACCACCAGCATCATCATCATCATCATCATCATCATCATCATCATCATCATCATCA